TTTCATGAAAGAGCCGTTAAAAGCAGGGGCATCAGTGGCTTGTGAATATCATCTCACACAGGAAAGGTAGTGCGTTCAGGAGGAGGGTTTTTAGTGATGTAACAAGAGAACCATAGTATGAACCAGCAATGCTTCTATACCAAGGATCCCACTTACAGCCTCCTACTCACATCCATACCCTGGGGACATGTCTCTCAGAGCTGCAGTTGCTTCTCTGTTTGCTAAGAGGAATCTCCTCAATAGGAATGTATAGATAGCATCCACCCATGTTATTCATTTGATGTGTTCTGCCAATCGACAGGTAACTGCAGATGCTTCAGATTAGTTATGGATGTTATATTTCAGATTACAGAATTATTCAGTTTCATAAAAAAAAAAAATCACTCCTTTGGTGTAATAAACTTCTAAAGAAATTCAAGCCACGAGGTGGTGGCACATGCCTTTAATACCAGCAATCGGGAGGCAGAGGCAGGAGGATCTCTGCCTCTGCCTGGTCTACAAGAGCTAGTTCCAGGACAGCCTCCAAAGACACAGAGAAACCCTGTCTCAAAAAAACAAAACAACAAAAAATTCAAATTCTACACACACACACACACACACACACACACACACACACACACAATGCAAAACCCTGTCAAAGGGGCTGGAGAGATGGCTCAGAAGTTAAGAGCACTGGCTGCTCTTCCAGAGGTCCTGAATTCAATTCCCAGCAACCACACAGTGGTTCACAAACATCCGTAATGAGATTGGGTGCCCTCATCTGGCCTGCAGGCAAACAAGATCCTTTATGAATTTATGAGCTAATACAGGAAATTTGTAAGCATCATAATCCCTTGCTTAATCTTAATTCAAAACAATCACTAACAAATAATGCAGTTGTAAATCCAAACCATGTAATCTCCTTTAGAAAATGCATGCTATTCTTCAGCCCAGTTTGAGAAGACCCAAGGCATCAGTGATTCACACATCCTGGTAAGCACCTTGAGAGGCACGATGTCTCATAGCGATACGGAAGTCATGTCCTTGTCCAAACTCAAGACATTCTGTTAGAGAGAATTTAAGTTATGACAAAAGAATCTCAAGTATAGCCAAATCATTGGAAGAGCATTCACCAAAATTTTAAGAGTAAATATCTGTGGATAAAGGCTTCATATGTGCCATGAACAGAGACTACTTGTAAAAAGCTATCAGATAATAATAATAATAACAGTAATAACAACAACAACAACAACAACAACACAACTATAACTACTGCCTAGTGTTCCCAGTGATAAGGCAGCAAAGGTTGTAAGCCTGTAATTCCTGGGAGAAAGAGGCTGTAAGTGGAGGCTGCTCTCTGTGAAGGCACAGTGAGTTTGTGTGCATTAGGGTCTCCAACAGGAAAATATTCAGAAGAGCCCCCCTGTAGCAGCTGAGAAATTTCTCCATTCTAGGGCTCTTTAAAAAATAAAAATAAAAACAAAAACAAAGTAAACTAACATATCCCACCGCAAAACCACACCACCAATTTACTTAGTTAATCTAATAATTACTCTCTCGGAAACACTCACAACTCTTTTTTCGTTTTTAGATTCGATATGACTTAGCCCCTTATAAAGAGATGTAAAACAGTTGTTAGTAGACCACCCTTCCTTAGTTTCCTGAACTAATTTTAGAAAAAGAATATTAAACACCTACTAGGGCTCAGAGAAAACAAAGCAAGTTATTTTTCAGACAAGTGTTGTCACCTTTAGTTATGAGAAGGCTAGCAGGTGTCCTTCCTGCAGGCAGAAAGCCAGGCGAACTGAGAGCGCTTGATAAAGAGGGATTAGTTCTCAATGGCTGGGGGCTTTTGGGCTCCTAGGGTGCACTGGGCTTTTAGACTTCATCATTTGTTTTTCTATTTATGAGACTAGATACTTTGTATTTATCTTGGTGTAGAGATAAGATATCAGTCTGTGACTAAGCTCTGAGACAACCCTAGTGCGTAAGTGTGGCTCCTGGGCTGGTTCTTCCTCATCTAGACTGTTGGATGCTTCAGGAAAGGATGCTTCAACCTTCAAAAGAGGACAAACATATCTGCTTTCTTCTGATTAAGACAGGGTTCACAGGAAAAAAAAAAAAAGTTTCAAATTCTAAATCACCAGGTCCACTAAAACCAGACTCCCATTACTAAAATTTTGCTTCCTCCCCCCAATGAATAGTAAGTACTTAATAATTAAAAATATGTCTCCTTTGCCTTCCCCAAGATGTAACTTTCTTCTAGTGTCTCTTCAAACACTTTCACAAGTATTTGCATTTATTAATGAATGATATACAGATGTTACTGTATGAAGAAACCTTGTAAGTACATTATTGAACGATATTTTTTTTAACACACCTCAAGATATCTTGCTTTGTTGTTATATCCATAGCACATACTTCAAGACACAGGGGAAAATATATGCACTTTGGATTACTGCTTGTGGTGGCTTAAATGGAAATGCCCCTATAGGCCCAGAGGTTTCAGATGCTCAAACCAAATCCAGTGGCTCATTCTCTCTTCCTGCTGCCTGCCAATTTGGATATAGAACTCTCAGCTACCTCTCCAGCACCATGTCTGCCTGTGCACTTGCTGCTGTGCTTCATGCCATGCCAATGATGAGAGACTAAACCTCTGAACTGTAAGTCAGCCCCAGTTAAGTGTTTTCCTTTAGAAGAGTGGCCATGGGCTGTTCAGCGGTTAAGAGCACTGGCTGCTCTCCCAAAGATCCCGAGTTCAATTCCCAGCAACCACATGGGCTGAAGAGATGGTTCAGCGGTTAAGAGCACTGGCTGCTCTCCCAAAGATCCCGAGTTCAATTCCCAGCAACCACATGGTGGTTGACAATCTGTTATGAGATCTGGTGCCTTCTTCTGGCTTGCAGGCAGACAGAACATTGTACACTGTATATGTAATAAATAAATACATCTTAAAAAAAAAATAAGAATTGCCATGGTCATGGGGTCTCTCCACAGCAACAGAAACCCTAAGACACTGTGAAGGTAAAATTATTATAAAGTTTTGTGAACTATTAAACATGAATAATTACCCTTCGAGCTGTAACTACCAACTTATAAGACTTGCAGGATTTTAAAGAGTAAAAATCAAACAAAATCCAGACTAGGGGAAATTCTAAGGGATAAAGTCTACGGAATGAAGGCTGGGGTTTCCTAATTAAAGGGAGAGAGGAAGGAGGAGAGAAGGCAAGGAAATCTGGAGGTTTAATGAAAATATACAAACCTTATTTTGGTCCAGGTTTTTATAAACAAAGTATAGAAATTATAAGTCAACTAGAAAAATTAAGATTTTTTAAAAAGTTTTTTTAGACAGTATTTCTTTGTGTAACAGCCCTGGCTGTCTTGGAACTTGATCTGTAGACCAGGGTGATCTAGAACTTAGAACTCAAAGAGATCCTTCTGCCTCTTCCTCCTGAAGTGCTAGGATTAAAGGTGCTCACTACTACCGCCTAGCAAAATTTGAAGACTTAACAAAGAAAAGCACTATCATGAATTTAGGTGAGAAAATGGTACTGTGTTCATTTCTTTCAAAAGAGTCCTGGTCTTTCAGCTCTCACAAAACTGCTGCAGCCTGTACTACTGCCAAATTATTTGGGGCTAAGAGGAAAGTTAGGTATAGAGAGAGCTGGGTATGTATCTAGCAGTCTCTTGGGTGCAAAGGGGAAAGATCTGGGGCGGGGGGATATTAAAAAAACTGGTTTTTGTAAAAGTCCTCATTCTAGAGACAGCCACCCCACCCTACCCCTCCATAGCAAAATTCTTTAGGTCGGACACTCCCCATCAACCAGAAGTATAAGCACAAAGGAAAGAGAAACTTCTTTTTTAAAGAATCACAACCTATCAGGAAAGGAACCAGAAGTCTTCAGCCATAGACCCATGCACAAGCTCTTTAAATCCCCAGCTTCCATAAATCCAGTGAAATAAAAAGTAGATCCTGTAGCAATGAACAATCGGGGTTTCACATGCAGGCAGCCATGGAATGGAATGTGCAACTCCTGGAGCTCCATGGGAAAATCCTCTTCTTGGGTGATCCAAATAAGCTTTGGGTGACTAATGAGGCTTTAATGAGACCATCGTCTCTCCCCTCAGCGCTAGAAATGTTAGTGTATCATTCAAAAAAATATAAATGGACAGTCATAAGATGATGATGTATTTTGTCTTGCGTCCCCTCTAATCTGCCTCCATCAGCTCAGCTCCTAAACCCAGTCACAAACTTAGCTGGGCTTGAAAAGCAAACCACAAACAGAACAAGTGACTTTGTTAGTGCTGCAGGAGAATTCTGGCACTTGCTTGAACTCCAGTTGTGTGTTAAACAGCCTTGTGATGACCTACACCACCAAATACTAAAAACTGGAAGCGGTCCGGTCCCTAAAGCTTCCAGAGGAACCTGTCTGCTTGCAGGTTGACTGACATCCCTGGAGGCTCTGGGCATCACTGCCAGGCACACAGGAAGAACCAGTTGTGGAAACACATGCCGGAGTGGGCAGGGAATCAAAAGTGGAGGTGGCTTTGGGGGCTGCAGAGCAACAATGCTCTCTGGTCTAGAGACGTTGACTCATGTCCAGAGCTTGGCTTTATGTCTCCGAGTCATCTTTAGATTAAGGACTAATAACAGCATAACCATGATACCCAGTCCTGACCTCCAAAGGGCTTAACAACTTAATAGTGTGCATTCTGCCTTCCACTTACATCTTATGCAACAAGAATAACATAATTAGTGTATGGTGTCTAGTCCAAATAGAGGACTGGGATTACTGGAAGACCAACTTAGATAGGCAAAGAGAAAGCCCAAGTCCCCACCCAAAAGAAGAAGACTGAGCACATCAGGGCCAACATGACCAAAACAAAGCATTTCTCGTTCATAGTGAATTAAAAAACAAACAAACATCCAAGCATCAGACATACAGTAAGATGCAAGCAAGGATTGCTTTCTCCTGACGCCCAGATGAAACAGGTAGATTAAGGAAATGAATGCAACCTACCTGAAGACGGCCAGAGTCAGCGACCAGAGCACTAGTGGCTTCCGCAGTTCAAACTTGGCTCGCTTGTTCATCAGATGCCGACCACCAAATATAAAGGCAGCATACAGCGCAGAGAACAGGAAGGACTTCTTCCTAGGAAGAAATAAATGGACCAAGCCTTGTGAGGCAGGACTCTCGAAGCACCTTGCACAACAGCTGCCCTATCTGTGCTAAAGATAGTTTTTTGAGTAGATGCCCCACTTCGATGAAACGTTAATCCACTTGGAGACATGTTCTGTTGGCAAATTCAACCTGTGGCTGCCTGCATGACACAGGAAGCACCATTCCATGTAGACAGATGTTCTTTTCGGGTCTAGGATCAAAAATTTCGACATATCACCAAGGTATGAAAGTGACCTTTTCACTAGAGGGATTAACGTTATTCTTTTCAGGAATATGAATTTAAAATAGAATCGTGGTTTTGGTAGAATGTAAGTATTAACTTTCAATATTACCATTAGTTTTTTTTTAAAAAAAGCTAAATTGTCAGACACATACATACACACAAATTGAATTTAAATGTGTCTCTGATATACTCTGACAACTGAATGCCTCTCTTCAGGTGAGTTGTACTGACTGAAGATCTGGGGCTAACCACATTAAAACCATCTTGAGAGACACAACAGCCACATGCAAGTACGTAAAAGAAAAAGGGGGTGTTTTTTTTTTCTCCCCTTTGAAACATATTTCAAATAAGTTTGTTCTTATTTGAACAAAGTAGTGTAAAAGAGCAGTTGTAGGTAGAATTTTAAAGCTATTTATCTATTATGGATACACATTGAGATATATTTATGAATGAAACAGTGTACCCTAGATTTGTTTTAAAATACCCTAAGAAACAAAAGTAAGCAAGAAAGACAAAAGGGGTGACAGAGAGTGACAAACACACAGAAGCCTCTTTATACATTGAAAACATTTCCCATTTTAAAATATTCCCTAACAAATATTTTTAAAACGGTGGAAAATATTTAAGTATCTGAAAGCTATATTAGGACGATATGGAAGGGAGGTCACTATTGGATTTACTGTGGTCTCAGTCACAGAAGAGTGGCGACGATGAGAAATAAAAGATAATATAGGACCTCCAAGCCCCACTAACTGCTGATTTGTTACTGTAAATAGTTTAATGCTGCCAAAGCATACAGAGAAAGAGAAACAATGAGAGAAGGAAGGGATAGGGACTACATAGGCTTTGTGAACAATTTAAACATTTAAGCATGCTTTCAGAGATAGAAACCTATCTCTTAATGTGGGTATCCCCCATGCCATTAAGACCAACGAAGAAATGGCTGAAATTGAAGAATAGGTCAAAAAACAGTATGAAAATAAAAACATGTGCTGGAGAATGTAGAGTGCAAAATGCTTCATATAGTATTTCCCTGACTGTTGATGTATTACTATTCATCCAAGAAACACTGCTACTTGCATGCATGCAGTGACCTACTTGGGTCCCAACCAAGTACAACTATGATCCCAGGACTCAACCCATAAGTAAACACCGTGTAGATTAATCAGTTCAAATACAACTGTGCAACCATGCTTGTTGGGACACATAATCCTGGCACAAAGTAGGCTCTTAGTGAACACATGTTGAATAATGATCTCCTGCTTTCAAAGTTTTTGAAGCAGGGAAATAACACCGTAGGTCCTCAATAAACACTGAACGAATGGGCAGCTGGGAACACTGAAAGAAAGTGTGTTTCCCCAGTGGTATATTTAAAGCAACTGAAAACCAAACTACTCAGAAATAGATTTGTAGCATATTTTCCACCTGCAACAAACTTTTTTTTGTTTTTGCTCCACACCAGAGAGAGAGAGAGAGAGAGAGAGAGAGAGAGAGAGAGAGAGAGAGAGTGAATTTTATGGAAAAAATATAACCAGACAATCTTTTGAGAGATACCTTCATCCAAGAGTGTGTTTTTGCTCTAACTGCCCAGGGTATGGTGTTAGATTATATAGAATGAGATCCACTCTTTCTATACACATATGAAGTTAAGATATATAAAACATACAAAGCCCATGTATGAGCAATGACTTGCTTAAAAAAAAAAATCAAAACCTACTGCTACTGCAAGCAACAGCAGCATTTAACAGTGGGGGGTTTTTGCTTGTTTTGTTTAGTTTTTGTTGTTGTTGCTTGGTTTTTCTTAATTATAAAGGTAGCAGGTGACTGGAACCACATGGTGCTTATTTACTCAGCAATTCCCCAGGGCAGATATCCTGCTGAAAGGCTTTATCAATCAATCCCCTAATCACCTCACCTTGCAGCTTAAGTATCACTTCCATTTTTGAGAAAAATGCTTAGAGGTTAAGTAGCCCTTAGAGGCTTCTCCTCAATAAATGTACAGGAGAAAAAGAGGTTGGTCCTTGATGTACGATCACCTAAGCAAGTCAGGGTCCCTTTGGTGACCTCTGTGTAACTAAGCAGAAAAGAGTTTGACTGTGAAAAAGCCCAAGGCATCCACACACTCCACACCATCATGCTCCAACTGGTGAGCATCCCAGGTCTACGAAACTTTCACTCACCCGCCCCCTTGTTTCTTTGAGAATGAAAATGTCCCTAAAGAGGACTTCTCATATTTAAAATGATTTCATTTGATGTGTAGGAGTGTTGGCCTTCATACATGTGAGCCATGTACATGCCTGGTGTCCGAGGAGGCCAGAAGAGGGCACTGGATCCCCTGGAACTGGAGTCACAGAGAGTTGTGGGCAGCCATGAGGGTGGTGAAAAATGAGCCCGGTCCCTTTGCAAGAGCAAGTGCTCTTTCTTAACCACTGAGCCATCTGCTCCCATCTCTTCCCACTCACTATTTCTTAGCCATGTGACATAATTTAGGTCCTGGCTTTGGACACATAACTGAACTGCTTATAATCATGTGCCAACCCGGTTAAATGGTGTCTTTATACAGTCATATCATCCTAGCCACCCAGGGAAAGTGTGCCTCAAGAACCAAGGAAGAATAAAACTTCCTCCTTTGTTTTTTCGGGTTTTGCTCTAATTTCCCCACTGCTTGAATGCAAATTAGTTCTAATCACTGGTCATGTCCTTGCAAGGTCAATTTTCTCTTTTACATTTGTTTCTTAAAAAAAAAAAAAATCTTCCAGGGCTGGAGAGATGGCTCAGAGGTTAAAAGCACTGACTGCTCTTCCAGAGATCCTGAGTTCAATTCCCAGCAACCACATGGTGGCTCACAACCATCTATAATGAGATCTGGTGCCCTCTTCTGGCCTGCAGGCATACATGCAGGCAGAACATATATTCTTCTATAACTCAAGGCATGGTGGCACACATCATCAACCCTAACATCTAGTGAAGGCAGAGTTCAGGGAGATGTCAAGTCCCTTATCCTAAGGAGAGGGAATAAGGAGGCTGATGATATTAGTGGCTCATGGTCACTGTATCAAGACCAGCCACTTGACACTGGTTAAGACCAGCCAAAATGTTCGTGGTTAATACCAAGAAGGTTGGGAGGCAGAAATGAACTGTTATGGGTTCTGGGGGGTCCCAGACAGTCAGTGATGAGAATGACATTTGCTTAAGTATGATTAGAACATCACATGGTCACTGTACACGGCAGTGTCTTCTACTGTGGAGAGACCCGAAACATGCTTTGGGTGAGTTTAGAACTAAATGGGTTCTTCCATAAAGAATTAAATTTCGGCACTTGCAGGAAAAATGGACAAAACTGGATGTGTTAGTAACGAGTGAAAGAAGGAAACAGAAGAATGAAGAAGAGAAAGGGGCTGCAACACAAAAGCAGAAGGTGGACTGTTTAGGGAAGGGGGAGGTAGGAGGAAGACAAGGGGTCATGAAATGGATGTGATTCAAAGTAACTTACATACGCATATGGACATACGGAGTGAAAAGCTTCAGAGTCCCTCAGTAAGATATTCATCTACTGAAGCATTAACTCCTGTTTCAAAAGTTGTAATTATTCTTCCAGTGCTTAGATGGCTTGACAAACTGGGCAACTTCAGTGACTGAGAACGGGCTTTCCTACCACTACCTCTCTGGTAAAGGTTCAAATAGAATCAGGTTGAGCAATGATTGGTTACTGGCCTACTCAGTGTTTAGGATGGATTAGTGAGTGCCCTGATGCTTCAATAGTAATCCTATAATTCTCCATTTTGCTGTAGGCATCCAGGGATGGGAATAATACAGCTACTACAATGTTTTATTATCAGTTAATTAGTAATCCCTAGGGAGCATGGAGTTACCTTGCTTAATAAATCTTAGTGTACATCACACAGCACAAGCCTTCCCCCTCTCGGGTACCTAACAAGTCCTTTCAGGGTGGTGAAACTGGAGCTCATTACCAGGCAACTGAACCAAAAAGGAGATAGGTCAGAAGAAATACTAGTGTGGGGCCTGAGAAGACAGCTCAACAGAGAGGACATGAGTTCCAATTGAATCTCAATGGCCACATGTGCCTGTCACACCCTCCTTGTTGGGCTGAGCCAGGTGGATCCCAAGAGCTCCCTGGTTAGCCAGTCTACTGGGAAACTCGCCGTGAGTTTCAGGTTCAGTGAGAAAACCCATCTCAAAACAAAAAGCAAAACAAAGCAAAATAACAACAACAAAAAATACAGTGGAGAATGGCACACAACACCTCCTCCAGCCTCTGCAGTGGGGACATGGCACACATACTTGCACACTCATGTATGCATAACACACACACACACACACACACACAGACACACACACACACACACACACACACACACACACACACACACACACACAAACTCATGTGTACTGATCTGTTGTGCTTGCACTTTTTCTGAAACAAACAGAAACTTTCTGTCCCTTATATTTCTGTCACCAATATTGAAACTGAATAATAATGGAAATTAGTTCATAACTAATAAAAAAAACAGTTAATTTATACACTTAAGAGATTTGGATTTCTCTGTAATACTCTTTATCCCTAATCATTCCTCAAGGTGGGTTTTTATTCTCACTACAATAACTGAATACCTTGTATAAATCCAAATGCACTTTTTTAAGCTTATGGGATGCCTTTGAAGCCAGTACTTAGCTTGCAGCTCCTTGGTGTTCCCACTGAAATCTGACAGCGATTGGGCCCTCCTCC